TGCCATTGTCCATCTGCTTGCCAGGCAGCGATCGGATCATCGGCAAGGTTAGACCTGCTTTTAAACTTTTACGTTTCTTGAAGAAGCGTCTTTGTCCGGATCCCTTGCCACCTTTTCCCTTGCCTTTGCGGCTGCCTTTGAATCCACGCTTCATCTTTCGTCCTTGGAAACGTCTTTGGCGCCATGTCAATGTGTAGTGTAGTTCTCATCGTCGTAGACCCAGAAGGTGTCATCATCTGCTTGAAGAAAACCTTCTGTGCCATCCTCTTCATCCTCGACCCAGTAGCCCCCGCGTGACTGTCCAGGTAGCCTTCCTCGATCACCAGAAAGGTCTTTCGGCCACCGTGACCTGACGGAGCTCCTTCAAGCGGTAGTCTGCCAGCAGGGGGTTCCTATGGGCCATCAGTGATGTCAAAACCTGTCGCTGATCCTGTGTGAGGTCGGACAAGACAAAGATAAGCGCAACAAGGTTGATCGTGATTGGAACTGTCCGCGCGTGCTGATTTCTGAGCCTCTCGTTGGCTCTGTCCATCGCCGTCTCGGGAGTGAGGTCCGCTTGTTCGTCTGCTGGAAGTTCTGCTATGTGTGCTCGGACCTCGGCATTGGTCGGGTCCGGAAAGTAGGTGCCGTTCCAGGCTTCCTGCATCCTTTGCACAGAGAGTTGAATCCTGGTAATCCAACGAAGCATGTCTCGTTCATGAACTGGGAAGCGGTAGAGGAACACTTCGGCCGCGCCCTTCACGAAGAGCGGCCGCAGGAAACTCTTGAAGTACTTAACTCCGTTGTTCGGGTCCTTCAGGCGATCTCTGTCAAGAAGCCGTTTGTGAATCGCCGCTTCACCTTCCAAACGATTGCACAGCGCTGGTCTTCGTTTGTCATTGTCCGACTCAGTGATATCACACCAGTCATCGATCGCATCCTCATAGGCGAACCAACTGCTTCGCCCCGTCATAAGACGGCGGTACTTTGGTGGTCACCTACTGGAAAGCTGAAAGCCGGTGTAATGACTGTGTACTTCTTGAAGATGGAGGTGTTTCGTCACATATTAATATGGTTCATTACCTTGAAGGAGGTATTCATCATCTCCTTTGCCATGCTCAAACGGCACAGCAGAGTGGCTAGCCATGGCGCTGTGCACGGATCGAGCCCCGGGCGCTTACTCTTCCGGTTGTCCTCACCTGAGCGAAGTGTGCCCGAGAGACTCCGGTCACCTTCGCCAGACCAGGGCGAGGCACACCAAGGATCCGGTTGCCTCCACTCGGTTTGAGCGTACCGACGGTGCCCCCACCGATGCGAAAACTGAGTTTCCCGGGAGCTCTGCTACCACGTTGTTGAGATGTATCCTGTTCGTGTATCCCCTCGCAGAGCGTACAGGAACACAGGCAAACACAGGTGTCTCTTTTTGCTACACGCGCACAGCTGTGGATCAGTACTTTGCTAGAACCTTGAGCAACTGGCATAGATGCATGCATGTGACACGTGAGACAGACAGGTGCCTGGATGTGTAAAATTCAGTGCGTCACCCCACCCACCCCGACTCCCCCACCCTCCTACATCACCTGCATCACCTTCACCGCCCTCTCCCCTTCCTGCTGACCCCCCCCTACCCATCCCTGCCTCCTGCCTCCCCCTAATCCCGCTCCCCGCCCACCGTGCCCTCCACCCTTGTCAGACAACAAGACAAGGTGTTGTGTAAGCCATTGTCTCCCTCCTACAACCAAAACACAACGCTTTTTGTAAGCCCATGTCGTCTTCCAACACCTGTCTTTCTCCGCGTTCAGAAACGCAAGGTTCTTTGTACACCCGGGTCCTCCGTCGACATTAAAAACATAAGACATAAGTTGTTTTTTTGTAAACTCATGTTCTCCCTATCATTGTTGTATGTGCTACATTATGAACACCGTTCCGGACATGATGCGGTTTGCTCTGATGTTGGTGGCACCTTCTGTTCATAGTTACCAGTGTTCATATTGCTTCCTTGTGCTTGATTTGCTTGTGATTTCTTACCAATATTGGTTTAGTCGCTATTAGTATCAATGATGTGAGGACAGGTACTACTAACAACTTATCGTATGGATTGCAGGACCCCTTCTTTTCATTTAATCATTATGTTCGACCTCCCCATCCTCACTCCAAAAAACAGCCAGCCTCTCCATCTTTAAGCTGTCTCGTGTCATCTTCATCGCCAACATCCTCTTGATTACATCATATGACTACGTGATTCTTGTTGTTCTTGTTGTTGCTGATGATATCGTGTTGTTGCTGTGGCGGAAGAAAGGCACTGACACTGCAACATAGCTTACAGGAACAGATAAGGGGGCACTCGTTGCGATTAACGGTTTCAAGAGCATGAATACCAACAGAGAAGAGGGGGACATTGCTCGCGATTGAGGAACGGAAAATGAACATCGCCAGAAGCTCCAATGTTCATTTTGTGTCGTTTCATTGTCATCATCAACATCTTCATTACCTGCGTCATATGCGTCCGTTGTTGTGATTGGTTATTGTTGTTCGTTGTTGTGTTGTTGCTTTTGCTGAAGAAAGGCAAAATCCGACTGACACGACAACATAGAATACAGAAACAGACAAGGACGACACAGCCTGCGAGAGATCATGTCCCACCCCCTTCTTTTGATCTTTACGACCTACCTCCCCATCTTTCCCAAACAACACCAACTTGCTAATCTTCGAACCTTATCGTCTCGCACTCGTCTTTACCATATTCATCATTTGTTCCCGCGGCGGTTGTTGTAGTTGTTGTTGTTGTTGTTGTTGGTGTTGGTGTTGTTGACCCCCGGGCTTACAAAAGGGACTTGGAGTTGCTGTTAGGGCTGAAAAGGCTGGAAACGTGCACACGCCAAGGAAAGCTGGACGTAGTATAATTGTTACTGATTAGTGATACGTTACGATTAACATTCATGCCAATATACTGTTTGTTGCGATACTGACGGTCAGTGATTGTTCATATCTACGGTTGTTCATTTTGCTCACTGATGCTTTCATCTATGCTAAGATTGACTTTGTACTCGTGTGATGTTATTCAGTATTATCCCGAACACTATGAGGATAATTACTGCCAGTTGTACTGATTGCGGGTTTGTTGTTGTTCCTGATATTGTTGATGTTGTTGCTACTGTTGTCGTTTGCTGCCGTTGTTGGTCAGGGTGTTTGTAAACGGGCTGGGGGTTTGGAGTTGATGTTCAGCTGCAAGATTGGCAGTATACTCACACCGAAGGAACGACAAAGACCGACTCAAACGAACGACAAAGAAAAACAGACACACAAATATAGAATATATATATATATATACATATAGCTTCAAGGGCAAGTAGTGCATACAACACATACAACAAGAGACGCTAGACAGCATCCAATAAGTAACTCAGGAGAGTAATATTTCACAATCAACAGCCGCATCCAAGAACACTATGTCACCATGTATTATACCATTATGACCATTATCAACTTGTTAGATTGCATACTGTGCCGGCCCGCTTGCTTGTGATTCGATCGATGCTTGTTGTTGTTGACAATCCATTTCCCGTTACATGAAAGGCAACGAACTGGATATCATATAAGTTGATATTAAACAATTTGTCACTGTCGGTCCAAAACTTTTTGGATTTCGGTTTGTGCAATGCACCACTTGGCCATATACCATTCAATTTAAAGCATTTAGTATTGTAAATAATGGTATCGGGGATATATATTTATATGGTCTTTTTTTGGATTTTTTCTCCTTGATTGGATTGGAGAGGAGGTACTGACCCAGCGCAGATCGCATGGGGCAGCCGAGATGAGAGCCGAAACACAAGCACGAAGGGAGTTTCTCTGTATCCAGAGCGCTTCAATGTCCTCAGCCGAACACGTGCGCCACTTGTGCCAGCACCGCGGCACTCTGATGCTCCTGGATGCTCTCTGGAAATTTGGTCGGTCATGCGCACTATGGCGGATTGACGTGGGCTCCTTCGCAGCGTGATGCCGCATGCTTGCATCGTCAGCTGCGAGTATTGTGGGCTGCTCTGCTCGCTATTCCCAGTTTTTTCTTGTGCCCATGGTCTTCACCACGTCAGTCTGCCCTCCATGTCGAGTGGTACTTCCAGCATTCGAACACAGAAAGGGCATTGCTGCATTCTGCAGGATCTGTCATTTGGACTGCACCCGCGCTTATCTGCAGACTCAGAATGTCGCATCCTTCGAGGAAGCTTCCGTGATCCAACCATGTGCCTCATTCTCGGGTGCGGCTGCCGCAAGGTGTGTGCGTTTCGGTGTTTCAGGATGGCGCGACACGATTGATCGACTGCCCTTGTGGCAAGGCGCGGCAAGGGTCGCGGTTCCCGGTTGTCGCGCCCAAATGCCTGTCCCCATGGATGCAAAGATATGCAAAGCATGACAGGGTGTCTATGCTCCTCGCTGCACCGTGTGTGGATGCAGCTTGCTGCCACCAACTCCAGTGGTGCAGACACTTGACGTTAGGGCCGTTTCGGCTCTTGATCGGCACACCCCACACGACGCTTCTTCCGCTGACCGCTAATTTCAGCTGTCAGGACCTGTGCAGCACCATGTGGGCGAGCCTTGGCACACAGGGCGTGCATGGATGCTGCGGGGACCTCAGGGAAGCTGAGCCACAGATAGCCACAATGCAAAGCCCGCGAAGCCAAGATGGCATCAGACCAGAGCAAAGCTGGCCAAGAATGCCAGCTGGGGCTGGAACACGGCAAACAGACAAACCTGACGGGCACGGGTGGAGTGGCGGTGGCTTGTCCCGGGATGCCCGGCAGCGCATGGTGCCGCGAGAACAAACCTTTCGAAGGTTTCGGGCATAGGGAGCCAGAGTCAGAGGAAGGGCTGCAGACATGCGCTGCTACATGTCCAAGCTGCATCCTTGGAAACGATTTTTGCTGCCTGAAGTTCTAGCATTGCGGTCGATTCCTAGCCTGAATTTTGAAAAGCCTCTAGATCTGTTGTGCGTGAGTAGAACCGAGGTCCAAAAGTTTGGTGCTCGAAGAGATTGCCAACTCTGCAGGCGAGGGGAATATTGTGGGGCTTTCGTCCTGCATCGCCCTGTTATAGGAGGCCATGGATGTTCTGACTCCGAACTGTATGGCCGCTGATTGTACATATGCAGGCTTCTGCCAGTCGACCACTCATAATTTATGTTCCAGCTACTGGCCGCGCGCAGCTGTAGCTCATTGTTTCTGGAAAATCTGTGCGGCAACAACATGTAGCCGGACAGCCAAATTCAGCTTTGCGACTCTTATTTGCAACGCGCTAGAGGGGACCATGCCAGACGACAAATCTTGCGGTAGAATGCATTGAGCACGCAAGGGCAGCTAGTTTTTGTGTGGAGTTGTTTCAGAGGCACCCACATCCCGCTGGCATTCTCAAGGGGGTATAGGGTGCAGATGACAGCAGATCTCAACGAATTTTGCCGATCATTCTGCAACGCGCAGCCAGCTCAATAAGACCTAAAGCTAGTCTAGATGATCTTTTGCCAAAGCAAATTGACCCTTTGTCAGCCAGCTTGGCCAGTTGGTGTTCAGGCCCGAAGTCCAGACCTTAGCATGGATACAGAGCCGCTTTGAGGAGAGTTTGCACCTGCCTGTGAAGGCACCTGGAACGACTGTTGCAGTAGCACAAACATACTGCACAGGCTGAGGTCTGCATGCCCCTTGCAGTTAGAGCCAGGAAGCACGCGAGAAAGTAGTCGTCAGGCGCTTGTCTTCTTTTTTTGTTCCCCTCCCCCCGCGAAGTACTATTACTTCTTTTTGTTGCTTCTAAAAGAGCAAAATTAGTAGTAGTCGTCGTCGTAGTAGTCGTCGTAGTAGTAGTTGTAGTAGTCGTCGTCGTAGTCGTAGTCGTAGACATACTCGTAGTCGTAGTCGTCGTGGTAGTAGTAGTAGTAGTAGTAGTAGTAGTAGCAGCAGCAGCAGCAGCAGCAGCAGCAGGAGTAGTAGTAGTAGTAGTAGTAGTAGTAGTAGTAGTATGGGTCGTAGTAGACTCACAGTAGTAGTAACCAGAATCATGCTGCGAGTCCACGACCGTAAGAAGAAGAGGACGGCCCGGCCCCCCTGGCCCAAAAAAACGCTTCGCGTGCAGCCTCGTGACAGTGTGCCTCCAACTCCTAAACGCACGCAATGAGACACCTTGAGGGTTCCAGCTCACAAACAAGGTTTAGCGGGCAAGTCTGTCTCACAAGCACGGCCGTGAATCAGCAACGACGACTGGTGACTGACAAGTCTGTCGGCTGTCCGGGGAGCTCCGGGTGAATGCCCGTACAAACATATTCAGCCATATTCAGCCGAACTGCTCTGAAACAGCGGTCCCCCTGGAAAGCCCGCAGCGTACTTTCAGAATCATTTCGGCAGCATTGAAAGTAGTCCTGGCGCACCGCGGCCATTGCTTCAGTTCCACTCAGCTTGTGAAGCCTTGCAGGCGTCTAACTAGTGTGCATGTTTGCATGTACCGGATGTTTGCCCGAAATTTGTGATATTTCTGAGGAGCCTGTCATGGCGCCACCAGAGACTGACAAGGAGCGCAAGGGACATCAGGGCAAAGATATTCAGTAAGACTTGCACCCGCCCCCTTACTTCGCCAACCTGGTCGGTGCACGCACTGAAGTAGCCCTTTTGTCATGCTGTGTCTACATGAACTTATGGGTGCCGCCTGTGAGCATGGAAGCTGGCTGAGAAGGCTGCATGTTAGATAACCGGGAAGGGAACACAAGTACAACGAGGGTCTGTTGGTGCCAGGCTACAGAGAAGGAGCTTCAAAGGATACGCCGGTTGCCAGAGAACCGGGTGCCGCCGGAGTCTGGGGCAGTGTCTGCGATCTGTAGTCATGATGCAAGCGCCCGCGCATCAAATTGTAGAGACTGTCGCAAAGTGTGAGACGTGCCTTGGCGCAGGTGTGCCCAAACTGTTTGAAGGAGGAAAGCCTGGGATTTAGTGCAGTTTGCACAACGTTCAAGACGCCAGAGGCCAAAGCAGAGCCTACCAAGCCCAGTCCACTAAGTTCGTGAGCTCTGAGGTTCATCTGCCATGACTGCAAATCTGCTCATCAGAGTTTCTCACATCGCTGCAAGAGCATCCAGATGAGTGTGTGGACATTGGAGGAGGTTAAGGCAGGAAGTGCTAGAAGAAAACAAGACAAGTGATTGTGCTGCTAACAGCCCATGATTTTGCACTTCGCAGCACCACAACAGGCTCTCGACGACTGCAACGGTGGTGGAAATGCTGCGGCCGTGAGAAAGTATCTCGGGAAAGTGACGCCGAAAGACCGCGTGAAGCAGGCTGTGGGAAAAGAGCCAGCCGATCTCCGCAAGTGCACTTGGCAGTACCTGCAGGGCAGTACCCTCGAATTGTACAAACGATTTATTCAGCTCTTCGCTCAGTTGACAGTTTCGTCCAGGTATAGACCTGAAAGACTTGGAAGAAGATTGGATTGAGGTAGATCGCATGCAAGTCGCATGGACATCTGAGGCGAGCATACGTTGACCAGCGTTGGGCGGACGATCAGCCGGAAGTTTCTGCCCCCGAGGCGAACCTAGCCGTCGTACTTGCCGAAGCTGCAAAGTGAGTTTTCGGAAGTCGCAGGCGCCTCAAGCACTGCCGGCACCGTCGTCGCCAGAAACAGTGCCAGCTTCCGAAACCTGTGTTCCCTACACGTTCTGCGAAGTGCAAAGGGCACCTGAGCTCAAAATGCACGATCCGAGGGAAGAGCCCAGGGCCCGATCTAGGCGCGGCCCTGGTTTTGCATGCTCCAATTCTTTGATTTTGACTCTGCTCATTTATGCAGCATGTCTGACCACGTTCAGGAAGGGCCGTCATCGCACATGCCTCAGATTGATTCTTTCGATTGCCAGATGTTGGCAGTATCACTGCATGATTGAAAATAGTGAAGATCCGGTTCGAGTAGATGCAGTGTCGTATATGGCATTAAACATGTCAAGGCATGCAACTTGATATCAAAATATCAGAATGTTACAAACGTGACGACCAAGTCCGGACCTACAGAGTTGGAGCCTGGACGCTGTGTCATGCATGAGACGCCCAAGTCCAAGCCCGTGTCCATGCCAAAACCGAGTGTCCAGATCTGTGCAAAATCGTGCCTGAAGACTCTCAGAAGTGGTGGTCATCTGTAGATTACGTGAACCCGGCGCCCGACCTCAAGTACACATTCTTCCGCGCAGCATTCTGGATCATCTCTCTTCGTCTTCGCTCTGAAACGGGTGAAATCGGGGCTGCGAAATAGCGATTCGATGCCCTACGACAAAACAGTGTTCATCGATCAAGCTGCGAATTCTATGTGCTCATATATTCTACTGGAAGACTTGGTCCGTAGCTGCTACGCACTTTCGCATGGTCTTGCCTATTTGTGGCTTTGCCAATTCCCGTTCTGAGGCAAACGGCGAGAAAAGACTGCCAACCTGCAGCTTGAAGCTTATGTTCGGTGCCAAGAATCTGGCCCTCCTGATTGCTTGTCTTGAGGTCAGACTCGGTGCAGGCACTGCGCACTCGCCGAAATGATTGGAAGTCAGCGATGTCAAGCTGAGTCGGACTTGCATGACTTGTCAATAAACACACTTGGGATTGCAGGTGGCTCCAGATGGTCTGTGGCAGCATGATCTGCGCAGTAATGTGCTCAGCATGTGGATGTGCCTGGAAAGCAGCGCGCTGTTCTAACTTTTTCTCTTGTTTCCAAGCCGCAAAATCGTCGAAGCAAGGGCTTCCAGAAGAGGTCGAAGCAGAACATAGAATCAACATCTGTGCAGCAACAGTATCTTGCTTTGCTCTCTCCAAGAGACCAGTCGTAATTAGATGGTTTTTCTCAAGTCCATTGCTCCCGTCTGGGGTTTGGAGGCCACTTGCAATCGGTCTGGAGATCTGACTCGGCCGCGAGTGCAAGCTACAGAATAACGTCCCAGCCGAAACAATCCATGCCAAATCGGCCAGAAAAACACTCTGCCGAGTCCATTTCAGCCCAAGACTCCAAACACAAGTCAGCACGAGCTGTGCGCTGCTACCGCACCCGTCCCGCAGAAGTGTTCACAGATCGATTACTCACAAATCCTATGCAACGTGCTACGTTAATGCTACACATCATTGCACACCCGTTCCAGCCCAACAGTCAGCTACCTCGAAGGGTTTGTACTCCGATAGGGCAACTTCATGCCTCGCCTCTGGCTGTTCCGTGCGATATTGGTCTTCAACTTGTGGCTGCAGACGGACTCCACTGAAGCATCTGGCAGGGATTTTGCGTTGCCTGTGCTGGATGGCTGGCATTCACAATACGGTCAGGACAAGACAATTTTAAGGTGGCTGTACAATGAAGAGGCCTCCGATGCTGCGCATGATCTGATGCATGAGCGGGCGCATCGACAGGGCGTATTTATCGAGCTCGGCGCCGGTGACGGCCTCGCCGGCAGCAACACTTTAGCCTTCGAGCAGAAGCTTGGCTGGACGGGGCTCTTGATTGAGCCAGTGCAGCACTTTTATGAGAAGCTCCAGGTTAATCGCCCAGCAGCAACCTGTGTGCATGCTTGCGTTGCGGGCGCGACAGGTCCAAAAACTCTTGCAGAGAGCGGGTTCAACAGTGGCACAACCGGCCGTCTAGTTACATCGAGCGATCTGGAAAAGCTTGTTGACATGACATGCCAAACGTTGGGCGACCTGATCGACAAGCACCTTGGTGAGATGGGGCGCCATATAGACTACCTTTCACTTGACACTGAAGGAACAGAATTGGAAATCCTCGGGACGTTCGACTTTAACAGATACCAGGTGGACGTAATGAGCATTGAAGTCGACGATGCTCTCCCAGAAGAGATGTACGTTCGCTTGACTCGTTTGCTCGACCGTAGGGGCTTCCGTTTCCTGGAGCGGTTGCTGGTGGATGAAATTTGGATTCGGAAAACTGGACTGGAGCCAGACCCGACGTGCATCTACCCTTCCCTGCAATTGGGTCCGAATGCCGCCGAATTTTCTTGGGCTAGCCTGCGGAAGGCCCTGACATCTTTGCTAGGTGTGTTGCTTGATCGACCATTCGATACCTTAGATGTGAATGTTCTAGCTGGCGAGGAGGCCTTGGCTT